GGATCTGTAGAGTTCTGTATAAGTATTGGAGTTTGGGTAATAATGACATTTTTATAGCTGCGATCCGCCCCACCCATGACAAGTATTTCCCCTCCCAGGAGCCCAAAAGGGACTTAAACGTTTCTAATAGTGGCTGGTAGTTCGTCTTGAATAGGGACATGGGGTTTTTGGTAATTTTAGTTCCCAGGAATGTGAGGTAATCATCCCTCCAATCTAGAGGGAACGAGCTCTTAAGGGTTGCTTGTTGTGTTTTGGGAAGATTGATGCTTAGTGCCTGTGTCTTGGTGACATTCAATCTATAATATGACACTCGTCCATATGCTGTGATGTGGTGCATGAGATTGGGCAGGGATATATGTGGTTGCGTTAGAGTGAGAAATATGTCGTCAGCGAATAGACTTAATTTGTATTCTTTCTGGCGTAATGTTACCTAATGGATTGGTGATTCCATCCTGATCTTGGCAGCCAGTGGCTCCAATGCCAGGACGTAGAGCAGCGGGGAAAGCGAACAACCCTGGCGGGAGCCGTTAAAGATTTTGAATTTGTCCGAGCAGAATCCTGCATTTAAGACTTTAGCGATGGGGCAGCTGTAGAGAGCCTCTACTGTGTCTGTGAATTGGGAGGGAAAGCCAAATTTCACCAGCACTGCTTTCAGGAAGCGCCAATTTAGCCTATCAAAGGACTTCTCCGCATCTAGGGACACTAGAAGGCTACCTGTACCTTTCCTCCTTATGCTGTGTATTAGGTCCAAAACTTTCAGAGTGTTGTCTGTTCCCTGCCTCCCCGCTACGAATGCCACTTGGTCGTTGTGGATGAGGGTTTGAAGTAGTGAGCTCAGTCGTCGGGCATTTATTTTAGCGTATAGTTTGGTATCTGTGTTGAGGAGGGAGATTGGTCTGAAGTTCGGGCAGTGCAGTGGGGGCTTTCCTGGTTTTGGTAGGGTTATGATGTGGGCAAGCAATAGATCTTCTGGTAGTGATTTGGTTTGAGTGGCGAAGTTGAAGAGGGATGCTAAGTGTGTCATTATACCCGCACCAATATCATGCCACATCAGGGACAAAAACAAAAGGGACATCAATACTGATTAGCAACACAGTATCCTTCCAGCACCACTATTCACAGATAGACAAGGAGGGAAGATACACGATAATAATATGCACAATCAACAACACTAAATATACCCTAGCAAATGTATATGCCCCGAATACGAACCAAAGGGATTTCCTACATAAAATCCTATCCATACTACGACCAATACAGGAGGGAATACTGGTCCTATGCGGGGACTTTAACCATATCATAGACCCCAAAAGTGACACAACGTCCCGCGCTGCCTGAGTGGTGCAAATAAAGCAACGTAAAACATGTGCATCATATCTTAAATTATTAGACAACGATAAACTGTATGACGTGTGGCGAGTCCTGCACCCTCAAGAAAAGGATTACACGTACCACTCAACTACACATAATACGTATACCAGAATAGATAGATTCCATATGGAAAGCCTACACTTAGATCAGGTTCTAGACTGCTCTATCGGCCAAATTACATGGTCGGACCATGCCCCACTAACACTGACCCTCAAAGACAACTACGATTACAAACATAAGAGCCCCTGGAGACACAATGAATCATTACTGACAGATATACCTTTCTCCAACCAAATAGAAGAAGCCATAACAGAATTTTTCACACTCAACGACACGGGAGATACATCAGCATGCACCTTATGGCAAGCACACAAAGCGGTGATTAGAGGACTCTTACTAAAGTGAGCAGCACACCTGAAACAAGTTAATCAAGCCCAATGGGTAAAATGGAACAAACAATTAATAGACCTCACAAACACAAACAAAACGCACCCAACGGAAGCAATACAAAAAAGCATTAAAGAAGTAGCAGAAAAAATTAGACTATACCAGCTGCAACAAGTAGGCTTTAATTTACGCAAACTCAAAGCAACATACTACGCACAAGGAAATAGAGCAAGCAAAACATTAGCAGCCCGATTAAAACAAGCAGAGACAAACGTGAAAATATCACACCTTTACACACATGACAACACAAAAGTGATTTCCCCCATAGACATTAGCAACGCTTTTGCACACTACTATAATAAACTCTACAACTTGGTACAATCCGAGCAAGCACCTAACCCAACGGATCATGACATACAGTCTTACTTACATGATGTCTCCCTACCCACACTTACACAAGACCAAATCACCTCTCTGCAAAAACTAATCACCCCGAGAGAAGTGGAAGATGCCATACAAACCCTACATAATATTTTATAATTTTTGTATAGTAAATTATATGATATGATTAAAATAATGGTATCTTTAGAAAGACCATTTAATGGCGAGAAATACTGCATATAATATGTACGGGTACAGTAAACGAGTAAGAGGAAAATTTCAGCTAAACACAAACACCGCAGAAATGTAAAAACAGCCCTGGTCCTTAACGGTAAGAAAATTGAAAAATGGTCTGGTCACTAAAGGGTTAATGTTTTATTCAGTTGTGTGATTTAAAGAGAATTAAAGAGATTAAAACTGATGTCACTTTTTTTTTTTACCTAATCTGTTCTAAATGTTTAGCTGCCGCATAAATATCTTTAAATTTTTTTTTAGCAATTTCTACTTAACATTTTCATAAATAATTACTAGCTAACCAATTGAAATCAGCTCAGTGTGTTTAAAAGATATGTCTATCTCTTGATGAAGTTGTTTACAGAATCTATTATGCCTTCATTTGCTGCAGACAAATGTTGCAAGGTACATTGTGGAAGGGTTGTGCTTGTGTAAATGAGGTTCTACCAGCTGTGATAATTAACTGGCATAATTTCTGCAGAAATAATGGTATGAGGGTGGAACAAAACAGAATATAAACCATCGATTGCTGAACCTTTTATGTCAGCACTCAATTGAAAAATTGAGTTATCAAATCATCATCTACGAAACCCACTTAATGATATGTTTGCTTGGTTGAGCACTGCGATCTTTACTATTTAAAATGATTTAACTAAAGTTCATTTTGCAAAGATTTTCCTATGTGATTAAGGAAACAAAAGGGCATTATACTAAATGTATAAATAGCACTCGCACAGTCGCACAATATCTTTCACATAGATTAGTTTAAAAGGTTTTTCAAATATTGTAGCTGCATTAGTTATATTATTACTTTAAAACTGGAGACTATTGTTATAATTTACTTCTAAACAAAGTTTAGAAAGTTTAATGTAATACTCATTAAATTTTCAGATCAAACTTAGATCTGTCTGTCTATCCATCCCCCAACCAAATATTCCTCCATCTGTTTAACTATACGATTGTCCTTCATCTGTCTGTACATCCAGCTATTTATTTTTATACCCGTAGATATATCTAATTTTTATCTATCTACTAATGGCTGACCATCAACAGCATGGACCAAATAATTCCAAACTAACGCAAATTGGTGGGCTCGTTTTTAATATTGTTCAGATTGTCAGTACAGGAATGCTTTTCAAAAAACAGCTGACCAGATTCAAATTTGATATATTTTACGGCCACATATTTTTTGACTAATTATTTCAGTGTTTACAACTTAACGTTTGATAATTATTTTCATGTTAACAGCTGCCAATGAGCAATTAACGATGCAAACACAATCACACTGTTCCAATTCTTTTCGACAACACCTTTGATATTAGCAGTTTTACATAAAATTGTCCTATACCTTTCATTAAACAGTCTGCTTAACCGCTTCATGAAAAATGTCATGCCGTAACCATCATTATATCATTGTACTTGCCTGATCTCGTATCTTTAAGGGGTTAATTGATTCCAATCACCCTGAAGAGGATTTATTGACATAATCAAAGTATTTTTGCTACAAATACAACAATCAAAATGATCATTTTTTCAACTAATTAAGCAACACAGTGACATTGTGTGCTTTTTAGCTGTGTAATTGGACAACAATGACATTGTTGACATTGTGTGAGTAATTAATCAATAATTAACGTTTAATATCCTTTAAGTGACTTGTATTTTTAAGATATAGCTTTTGCTTTATTTTAACTATTGAATTTCCATAATACCACACAGTCATTAATAAATATAACAGCTAAAATCATCAGATGATTATATTTTATTAAAACTGTATCTAAAATATTTATATGCCTATTAGCCTATAATTTTTTACTGTTATCGCTGAACAGGAAGCTGCGTGCTGATCTTTGGGGGAAAAATACACAGTTTATACTTACTTGTAACTTTAGATTACTTTTTTAATCTATTGATGGACTCTTTATATCCTCTATAAAGTTCTATGTTTGATTGAAATCAATTAAAGTAATTGGATGCATAAAAATGCCTTGACATACCCCATAAACCATCACAAATATCTATAAAGAACACTTCCCACAATTCTCTAGTTACACATAAATAACGCAAATTATCATCATACGGAGTGTTTCTCTAAAATGAGAATATTTTATGCATTGATGCATGCAATAACTGATTATGAAACATTTATAATACAATAAAATGAAGCCTCAGAAGTGAACTTAATATATTATTTATCAGCTAAAACAATATCCACAGGCTAAAAGGACAGTATCTCAAGGGCTGTTAATATGAGCCGTTTAGCTCTTATAAGGTAGAAAGATTAAATAAGATGTGAAAGAGCAAGCGAACATCTAAGGAATAACTTAGATTTTCAGAATGCAAGGCAGTGAATTTGCCAAACTGCTAGTCTCCTACATTTCAATGCTTTGTAAGAATAGCAAGTGTGTTTGTGTACAAATGGAATATACAGCGTCAGTAGAGGAGGAACGTACTCCTCACCAAAGTTGTATTGAGTTGTGGACATAACCCAATGTAAAGGATAATAAGAAGGGCTGAGGAGGACGTACACAAAAGAAGTAAGTCCAAAAACAGTCCTAATACTCTGATAGAGGTTTTAATATAAAACAAAGAATTGCCTGAAATTTTTAAAATTGGGTATACATATACATAAATTTTTTGTTACAACTTTATTGAGTCCCTAATTGGGTATACAAATGTATATATATGTATTCAAATGTATACCCAATTAGGGACTCAATAAAGTTGTAACATAAAATGTATTTTCTTTGTGTTTTACAATTTCAGGCAATTCTTTGCTTTATATTAAAACCTCTATCAGGGTATTAGGACTGTTTTTGGGCTTGCCTCTTTTGTGTACGTTTTCCTCAGTGCTCGTGTACAAAATATATAGTCTGTTGACATGCTCGAAGACCACAGAAAGCATCCAAAAAAAAAAGGTTAAGGTGTTATTAAAGGCTAATACAAACATCCCTCTAGGAAATCTGTTCTTTACCAGAAATGAACAACTGGTTCTACTGAAACTTCCACTGAGAGAGGAAATTTCACCTGCAGCAGTCCGAAGATTGCTAACTGTAAGAACAGTAAAGATTTGGAATTCACCACCGAGAAAGACTGTGCTGTCAAATTCAATAAATTCTTTTAAAATGGTCTGGATCTTATTTTTTTATGAATGAAATTCTTGTAAGCAAAATAAAATATGCTTGGCTGTAAAAGTTAATATGAGCCTTATTAACCCCTTAAGGACACATGACGTGTGACATGTCATGATTCCCTTTTATTCCAGAAGTTTGGTCCTTAAGGGGTTAAAGAGACAATATAGTCACCAGAACAACTACAGCTTAATGTAGTTGTCCTGGAGTCCACTTCATGTCCCTGCAGGTTTTTTGATGTAAACATTTCCTTTTCAGAGATGAGGCAGTCTTTACATTGCTGCCTACGAACACCTTTAGTGGCAGGTCACTCAGACAGCTACTAGAGGTGCTTCCTGGGTCAGAGCTACACAATGTGCAGCACTGACGTCTAGTGTCTCCACAGTCTGCATGGATGCGCTAAATGTTCCCAATAGAGATGCACTGATTCAATGCATCTCTATGAGGAGATGCTGATTGGCGTAGTGAAAAAGCATTGGACTGGATGAGATCATCAATTTTCATGATCTCAGCCAAGGAGGCAGGACAGGGGCAGAGACAGTCATGACAGACCCACCCAGGGACTGGAATAAAGTTTGGAAAACTCACCTTTTACATTGGTTACAGTGGGGCCAACCACCTAAATAGTGTTATGACAGATAAAGTAGCAGGAATACATGTTTCTATTCCTGTCACTATAGTGTTCATTTAATATTAGCTTGCTGATAGATAGGCTCCAGATGTCAATTGTAAATTCCCTTTAAAACACCATAACTCCCAGGCATTCACGTGACTTGCTTCAGTGGGTGAAAGTGTTAAAAAGATCTGTATTTATCTGTGCTAGACCCAAAATAAAAATCATTCTCAACACAACTCCTTATTCCAGTATAAAAACAGACGGCACCAATGCAATTTTTACATTTAGTGTCTTAGGTCACCCCAATCAAATAAGATTTAAAAAAAAATCAAAGCATGGTTTATCTTGTGAATAGCTATGTAACCACATTACTGTTATATTGAGTCTCCCTGGTAACGAGATTCTTACACAAGACAAACGCAGAACTTAATTTAGGAACATTTATTATGAACAGACAATAGTTTAAGTTGTTTGTATGCATAAAAATACAAACAAACAAATTACATATACCAACAAACAGATAATTAAAAGGAGAAAATAAACAGACATGCTAACTATACTAGCAAAGTACCTGTATTCCTGTCCCAAGAAAGGAGAGCTTTTGGTAAATAAATGATAATTCACTGCAAATTTGATTTGACTGTCAGAATGATTTAGACAGTTTTCAGGTTTCATGGCAGTTATATACACTTTTCCTGCTCATCTCAGGTTCTAAGCCGGCTCTTCTGAGAATGGACAAGGGTATGAATACCAGGTTTATGAGGAGCAATTAATGTATTCCAAAACCTATCTGAAAATGTACAATGCATTATATTTATGTACAGGTCTTTCTGATCTCGTTGCGACCAGGTCCGCTCATCTCGGTGAAACCAGACAATCAAACATGTTTTATATTTCATACATACTAGCAACAAAAAAATAGAAACAAAGTAGCATCTAAAATCAATTCCAACACTTTAAGTGAACATCCCTTCATTGAACTTACAGTGTAGAAGGTAAGTTTTGTGTTGTTAACCAAGCTCTCTCTACTAGCTTATCTAATAAGGCGCTGGTAATAAAGATTACTGAACCTCAGAACCAGATACTGAACCCCAGAAGTAGATACTGAACCAGGGAACAGATACTTATTTTTAAATCCCTCTACCTCAATTTGTTTACACACTACAAAAATAAAAGTGACTCATGATATTAAATGTATGGTTACTAATGCAAGGAGCCTAAATATCAAAATGGGGGACCTAGAGGCAATATCATACACTAAACAATATGACATAATAGGCATAACTGAAACATGGTGGGATGAGACACATGACTGGGCAGTAGAGATGTCGCGAACTGTCCGCGAACTTCTCACGAACGATTCGCCACAAACCGTTCTCGGCGAACTCCGGTCAGCTGACACATCCCTGCCAATCTCCGGCAGACCCTCCCTCCCAGACCCTCCTACCTCCTGGACAGCATCCATGTTGAAGCTGCCTTTTTAACAAACAACGTTGATCTTTTGACCAACATTCAGGTAGGTGAGCACTTGGGTAATCGTGATCACAATATAGTGTCCTTTGAAATAAACTCAAAAAAACAAAAGCACATGGGGTATACAAAAACATATAATTTTAAAAAGGCCAATTTCTATAAATTAAGAGCAGCTTTACAATATATTGACTGGCATAAACTCTTTAGTGAAAAGAACACTGAGGATAAATGGAACATCCTCCAACAAATATTAGAAATATCAGTATGTACCATTGGGTAATAAATATGAAAGAAACAAATTGAAACCGATGTGGCTTAGTAGAGAAGTAAAACAAGAGATTAAAAATCAGAAATTAAGGAATTAAAACCTTTTAAATCGGACAAATCAGATGCATTCTATAAAAGATATAAGGAAGCCAATAATGCGTACAAAAAGGTGATTAGATACACTAAAAACTGAAATGGGGGTGTTAGTTAATGAAGACCAGGAAAATGTTATGGACAAAATACTTGAATGGATAAAATGTCTATTTTTCTCTTTACATGTGTGCTCATTGAGTGAATGTTGCCCTCCCCCCCACTGTGTGCTCAGTAACTATTTCCTCTGTAAACTCCTCCCATCCTGTTACCCTCACCCCTTCCCATCGAGCAAGCCTTGTTTAACAGATTCCTGTGTTAAAGGAACAGCTTCCTTTACTAACCCCTCCCCCACTTCCTTTGTGCAACTAACAGCTCTCTGCCACGTGTTACAAAATGTTAAAGTAACTGTTTCCCCTTCAGCCCCCTCTTAGTTCAGTAACTACTCACTCCCCCTCCCATCGTGTAACCAAGATGGAGCTGGAATGTGGGTGGGAGAGCTCTGTAATGATGACATTACATCCTGTAGGGTTGGTTTAAACAAGACCCCTTAGACTGTTAACCAATTGTTGAATGTATACTTTATGTTAACTGTGACTCTGTACATGATGTATTTCTGCTTTAAAAAGGGCTCCCACTCCTTGGAATAAACCATTCCTCAGGTTTTTCACTAATCAGAAACTTTGTCTCCGGTGTGAATTACTTCTAGGAAAGTGTGCACACAATTAATTAATCAATTTAAAAAGGAGTAGATAGACAAATAATCAAACCGTTTGATTTGATCCAAATCAAAAAGGGAGGAATTTTAAAGAACAATTTCTCCTCCGTATATATTAAGGAAGAACCCATGGCAATAGATGTGCAAATGATTGCTGATACAAACCTGCAGAATAATTGTAATTGGTTAACTCAAGACAAGGTGCTGCAGAAACTAAAGAAAGTTAATATAAACAAAGCTCCAGGGCATGATGGTATTCATCCATGAGTACTTAAGGAACTAAGTGTAGAAATAAGTGAACCTCTGTTTTTAATCTTTCAAGATTCTTTTCTTTCAGGAAGTGTTCCAGAGGATTGGAGGAAGGCAGATGTGGTTCCTATATTCAAAAATGGTTCAAAATCCTTGCCTGGAAATTACATATTTGTGAGCTTAACTTCTGAGGCTGGTAAAATATTTGAAAGGTTCTTAAGGGATGATATCCAAAAAATCCTTGAGAAGAACATGGTTATCAGCAAAAATCAGCATTGTTTTATGAAGCACAGGTCATGTCAAACTAACTTGTGTTCTACGAAGAAGTAAGTAGAAGTATAGATCAGGGTGTTGCAGTGGATGTGATCTATTTGGATTTTGGCAAGGCATTTAATACAGTTCCACACAATAGATTAGTGTTCAAACTCAAGGAAATCAGTCCAGATGAAAATGCTTGTTCTTGGGTAGAACATTGGCTTAAAAATAGAGTACAAAGAGTTGTCATTAATGGTAAATTTTCAAGTTGGACAGAGATGGCAAGTGGTGTCCCTCAGGGTTCAGTTCTGGGACCTCTTCTATTTAACATGTTTATAAATGATCTTGAAAAAAGCATTGAAAGTCATGTTTCAGTGTTTGCAGATGACACAAAATTCTGTAATGTAATGCAATGTGAGCAAGATATTACTTTACTGCATAAGGATTTAGATAGATGGGGGACTGGGCACTCAAATGGCAGATGAAATTTAATGTTGAAAAATGTAAAATTATGCATTTTGGCGTAAAGAATACACAAGCAACGTATACCCTTAATGGAAGCGAATTAGGGATAACAACACATGAAAAGCACTTGGGAATTGTTATAGACAACAAACTATGCAACAATGTGCAATGTCAATCAGCAGTGGCTAAGACCAGTAAGATATTGTCATGAATGAAAAAGGGCATTCATTCTCAGGTTGAGAATATCATTTTGCCTCTTTATGAATCACTGGTAAGACCACATATTGAATATGCTGTGCAAGTTTGGGCACCTGTTCTAAAGAAAGATATTATGGCATTAGAAAAAGTGCAGAGGTGGGCTACAAAATTAATAAAATGAATGGAACACATCAGCTATGAAGAAAGGTTAACAAATTTAAACCTTTTTAGTTTAGAAAAACGTCGCCTGAGAGGGGATATGATAACATTATACAAATAT